TTTGCATTGAATTTAAATTTTTTTTATCTTATTTACGCAGCAAATCAAAAGTATTATGATGTAAAAAGGTGGTGACAGGGTGTGTCTCTTTAATTGTATATGTGAATGWATGGGAGCAGAGATAAGACACATTTAATGACAAACTCTTACATGTTCAGCCTCTTTAGAACAATGTGCTGTTGTAAGTGGAACACAATGTAAATATAATTACTAAACTTCTTCTGTGGCTCTTTAGTGTACATTGGGTGATGGAGTCAGAGTGTGTCCTTGAACGGGAGGATGATCAAAGAGTCGCAAAGCTGAAGTTTGACTTAATGCACAACTAAAAGAACTGTTTGTGACTGAAGGCAGGTGATGTAAATTCTAAAATAAATAAAATTACATTTTTGATGTGACCCAAGAAACAACATTTTAATTAAATACACCACTTTTCCTTCACTTTATTACTTTTGACAAAGTTAAACTTGATCACAGTTTAATACAGAAACTGGTATTTTACTGGATATAGGATAATTTTTCATGCTATTCAGTACATCTTTATGAGCAAACTTCCAGTAACTCCACTTCACAAGAAATTTCTTTACAGACAGAAACAAATACATCATACTTCCACCTCTTCTATTCGATACCAACACACACAGAGGAGTGTTCAAAAGAAACAAGGTACATTAACTAGAACAAATGTAACTTTTCAGGAATTAGTGTTTTAAAATATATAACAATTGTTTAAATAAACTCATGGGAAATGCACTTTATTCACTTAAAAGCATACGTTCAAATTTATGAATATGGCAAAATTGCCAAAAAAATAAAATAAAAAAGTGCATTAGATCAGCAGCGAGAGCAAACTGTAATGATCCAAAATTTAGAAAAATACCCACATCTGTATACATATGTGAACAAGATCTTTATATTTCAGTCCTTGAACTTGGCGTGATAAGTTTTTCATGCTTTTGGAAACAAAATCTGGACAAGACTTTAATAAAATGCAAAACAAGAATTATACAGCAAGTGTTTCATGCAAATATATTTTTAGGCAGTTGCTGCAGAATGTTGATTTGGAAAATGAAACAAAAAAGCTACTTTTATAAAAGTAAGGTGGTGTTAAAAATAAATTAAAGGAAAAGTAATAATCACAATCATCATGTTGATACTAATTTATTATCTTAAACTCTGCAGACTCTATAAAGATGTTTTGTTGGTTATTTTGTCCTGATTAAAATCTAAATTTATTCTGAGGTGGCATGAAGTCTCCTATAGAGAGATAATGATGGACAAAAATATAAATAAAAGAATGTAAAGTTCAAACTTGATAGCTTTTTGTTGTAGCATGAATGACTGTGACCCTGGCATGACCTTTTGACCACCACCGGTCATGTCTCACAACTAAAGTGACCTGGTGCCCCAACTTGACAAAAGTGTAGTCTAAGACAGAAGCAATTAGCATTCCTGTTTCTCTCCTAACAACTCAATACATTGTTT